TGGATGATAGGAACAGCTATTTTGGAGAAAATGACACCTTAATAGGTAATACTGATTTAGTACCATCTTGTTTTGAAGTCTCATCTAGCTTTTCTTCTTCTGTCTCCAATGGTCTAAACAGGTTGTATCTTATTGGATTTTATTATGTACGATAGTATAAGCAAAAACCTTTTAAAGACAAGGAGATTATACAGAAACCATTGTTCATTTTCTGTTAGTCGATTCTAAATACTCTATAATGCTGTCATTCTCTTAAATGGTTTTACATTGTTTTGATATACTTAATGCTACAGTATACGAAGTTGTGCTCAAGGACTTCAAGGAAAGAGTCAATATGGTAACTACTTTTGGGTCGGAAATATCTGGTGGTGAAACACTATTCTGCTTAAATGGTTATGTTTTGATCTGCCCTGTTTTGCTGTTATGCCCCCTTTTTTCTCAATCTCCACTCCATTATTTACTTTTTTATTTTTATCCGTTTAAAGGAAAAAAAATAGCAGTATATAATATAGTAACCCACTTTGACTTTCTATTATCTCGATTTGAAGCCCTGTATTACTCTCACCATCTTGTTTTTGACTGAAGTTCCTCTATTCTGTTTTGCTGGATAGTATCAGGTTCGAAAGTTTAGGCATCAGCTGAGAAGATAATGAGATTCATTATAACGCCCTTTCTCATTGACTTTTATCTACTTTTGAAGACCTACAATGTCTCCAATGTTTTGGTTTTGTCAGTTTTATTCTTTACTGTTTTGTTCAATTGTATTACAACTAATGATATAGGCGATTCTATTAGAGATAGCAGGAGGCATTATGGTAATCATTGTTGATCACCTTGTATTATGTTTTTATATTATCTATTATGCCACCCTTTTGACTTGACCGATTCTGTTCTGTTATGTCACATTTGGTTTTACTCTCTTCCAAAAAAGCAATAAGAACCATGGGAGCAATGAAACCCAAAATGTGTAATAGTCATTGTACAAAAGAGAGGAAAAGAAAGTGCTCTAAACGATATAACTGCATGTATATTTAAGTGTATAAGATAGAAAATGATGTCACAGCGTTTTATTGGATCATTGAACAGAACTGTTTGCAGTATCATTGTTGGAATGTTCACTTTACAAGCTTTAATTTTGTGACTTGAACAATTATTTCTAAGATGGCAATATGTAATCCATTAACTAGTGATTTCCTACTGCGCATTTTTTTCTTCTGTAAATCTGTATAACTTGTACCCCTTCACTGTTTTTTTTTCTTTTCTTTTCTCCTTAAATAAAAAAATAAAAATAAAAATAAAAATAAATTAAAAAAAAAACCATTTAAGCAGAATAGTGTTTCACCACAAGATAATCCTGACATAAAAGTAGTTACCATATTGTCTCTTTCCTTGAAATCTTTGAGTATAACTTCGTATACTGTAGCATCAAATATATCAAAACAATGTAAAACCATTTAAGAGAATGACAGCATTACAGGGTATTTAGAATCAACCAACAGAAAATGAACAATGGTTTCTGTATAATCTCCTTGTCTTTAAAAGTTTTTGCTTATACTATCATACATAATAAAATTCAATAAGATACAACCTGTTTAGACCAATGGAGACAGAAGAACAAAAGCTTGACTTCAAAACAAGATGATACTAAATCAGTATTACCTATTAAGACGTCATTTTCTCCAAAATAGCTGTTCCTATCATCCAATCGTCTCTGCCTCATTTCTGTTGAGCTCTTTTTCTGTCATTAGTTGTCAGTTTGTCTTCTTCATTTTGTTTTCTGCTCCATTTATTGTGGCCTCTCTGCCACTATTTCTGGATTCTTTGTATTTTTCTTTTTTAGAATATCCTGTAGTATTCTCTGTAGAGTTGAATTGGTGGTTGCATATTCCACTAGTTCCTCTTTATCCTGGAAGCACCTTGTTTTTCCATCAATTTCCAGGGACAGTTGTGCAGGATATCTCAATCTTGGCTGGAGATTATTATCTTTCAAAGATTGAATTATTTCCCCCCATGCTCTTCGTGATTTGATGGTTTGTGCAGAGAAATCTGCTGTAATTCTGATGGGTGTTCCCTTGTAAGTGGTCTGTTTCTTGTCTCTTACAGCTTTTAATATTCTGTTCTTGTATTGAATTTCTGGAATTTTTATTATTATATGCCTGGGTGTTGCTCCGTTTGGGTTGTAGGTGGCTGGGGTCCTGTATGCTTCATACAACTGAGTATCTTTACCTTTTGCTAAATTAGGAAAATTCTCCTGGATTATTTCTGTGAGTAGCTTTTGTAGTTCATTTGTTTGTGTCCCTACTTCTTCTTTTATGTTCTTAATTCTTAAGTTATGGATCCTCTTATCATCTTCTAGTCTTTGTATTATTGCTGTTTGTTTCTTTGTTACTTTTAAGAAGTTTTTCATTTCATTCTCCCATATTACCAATCTGCCCTCCAGTTCAGATAGTCTGTCCTTAGTTTCTTTCAAGCTGTTATGCCAGTTTTCGATAGAGTTTTTAGTTTCCTGGTAGTCCCTTTGAACCTGCTTCACGTATTCTATGCTTTCTCTATTTTCTCCATCAAACAATTCTCCCCTGTTTTTCTGATCTTCCATTCCACCATCTGTTTTTTCTTGGGTGGTGCTTAGCATTTCTCTAACTATTCTGCTTATTTCTCGCTTCAGGTCATTAATAACTTCATTGCTGAACTGATCTATGAGGCTCTCTAGATGGCACTTTGTGTCTATTGGTGTGGTGTCCACTATTGCCTGTTTCTCAGGATTGGGAGCCAAAGGGCCTTTCTTGTTGCTCCCTCTTCCCATATTCTTTGTTCCTTATATATGCAAGCATATATAGGAGGCCCAGCTTCCTTTCCTGTCAGCCACAGTCTGACTGAATTGCGCTGGCTAGGTGTTCCCGCCCACCGCAGCACACCAGGAAGTTGCAGACCAGGCAGCGTATGCGGGGCCCGCCCCTCCAGGTCACCCTCACGCTCTGGGATCTGGGTTGTGCTAGCCCACTGGGTCTCAGCCAGCAGTGTCATGTAGGCTAGGCACTGCTCACCAATCCCACTTGAGAAAGGGATACATGGCTGAAGTCACCGCAACGCCCTGCTCCCGCAAGTCTGCCCAGTCCCAGAATGTCTTCTGTTGGAATCTCCCAAACCATGGGAAGAGTGTCAGTTTCTCTCACTCACCTCACCGCAAGTCAATGCACAGCTCCCTGCCCATCCTGTTTTCAACTCTGTTCGCCGATTCCCGTTCTCAGAGCTTCCACGCGTCTCTCTCCTGCCGAGCCGATGTAGACGCAGCCGCCGCGCAGCAGGAAACCCAAATCGCGGCTTCCAATGCCGCGGGCTCCAGCTTCCACACTGAGGCTTTTCTGTTCCTGTTATAGCACCAGGATTGCACTCCAAGTTGGTTTCTCTCAGCCCAGTTCGTTCTTGGGTCAGCAGGGCATATCTCCACCTGTTCACAACTCCTTACTCTGCACCATTCCTGAATTCCAAGCTGGTTCTTTCAGAGAGCCTCCATAGCTGCTGCTATCTGTCCGCCATGTTCTCCCAGAAGTCCACACTATTGTTTTTAATTGGAAATATTTACACTATAAAAATGAGGCATTCAAAGGAATATAACTAATGAAATTAAGGAAGTATTAGACCAAGAAAATACAATTTCAAATAATTTATCTGAAGCTCCATAAAACCTAACATTCAACAAGTCATTAAGTATCCTATGATGCTTTCAAAGTGCAATATTCCTAGGCCCTTTGCCTTGAGGTTGCTATAGAAGTTAAAATAATGCAAATTATGAGAGAGTAAAATTCATTTGCTAGCCAACCAGATCAGAAAATCTCTCATGAAGGAAAAGTGTGCCACTAGTAATACTGGTATAAAGTTAACATTTAGACTTTCCAAAGTTGTGGAGGTTTTCCCCCCTCTGTACTGAGCACTGAATCCAGGGATTTTCCACTGACCTATATCCTTAAGGCCCCACACCCAACATTTTTCCCCCTTGAAGCTGGGTAGCCCCAAATTGCCAAACTGCCCAGGCTGAGCTCAAACTTGTGATCTTCCTTACTTAGTCTCTCAGAATCCCGGAATTACAGATACGTGCCACCACATCTGGCTAGATTTCACAAAGATTTTTATGTAAAGAAGCATTTATAGAAAAAATGCAAAACACTTATAGAAAGAATGCATATAAGTTCACCTGCTTTCTTTGTATATGATTTAGGTTCAGTTTCTTGTGGTATCTATTATTTCTGTGAGACTCTAGACAATTACTTAGCCATTCTAAATACTTCTTCATCTAGGTCTATTAAAATGCAACCTTTTCCAAGAAAATCCTGATCCCTCATATAATGCTTAGCCTAAGTTATTTTCTATTGCACTATTCAATTTTTTCTTTATAACTGATTGGGGGAGTACCGGGGATCAAACTCACAGCCTTGCACTTGCTATGCAGGTGTTTGCACTACTGAGCTAAATCCCCAGACCTGAAATTATTTTATATATTTGATTTATCCTGAAGACTAAAGTTGTATGAGAACACAGCATTTTTCTAATGCCTAAAAACACTTCACTACACTTGGAAACAAATAAATAGTGGTTGAATGAATGATTCCCAGTTTCCTAATCAGTAAAATGGGGGAAAAATGCCTCACATGAAAATTAATTCTTATAATAATACACAAACTAAGACTGAGCCAAGAGCAATGATGTGCACTCAAGAGTTGAAATACACAGGAGGCTAAAGCAAGAGGAGCACTTGAACTCCAGAGTTCAAGACCTCATCTCAAAGAAAGAAAGAGAAGAAAAAATTTAAAAGCATTCATAAAGAATTAAAATTGAATACTGTATGTGAAAGTATTCTGTAAACTATAAAGCAGGTACAGAAAAATTTAAGTCAAAGGGTAAGGGATGAGGGGCAACTTCAGAAATACATCAAAATCTAAGAGATACTATCAATTACAATACCACTGTTATCTAATAATTTAATCTAAAAACAACGCACGTACCTTTCCCTGAAGAGGCCCCTGAATAAGCTTGGGGTATTTCTGGGTTGAACTATTTCCATGTCCTAGTTTCCCATAGTCACCATCTCCCCAGCTGAAGACTTCTCCTTCTGTCGTAAAAGCTAAAGTGTGACCATCAGAGCCTTTAGAAGATGAAACCTTTTTAATGGACCTGTGAGGCTCAAAGGTTAACTTTTTTAAAGTAGACTGATTATTGGAATCTCCAAGGCCCAGTCTCCTATAGCTGCCTTTACTGCAAGCTCTGACCGAACCATCCGCAGAAATAACGAAAGTGCAATACTGTCCAGCTTCAATCTACAAATGAACACAATGACAATATAAAATGCTTCTGTGGGTATCAAGGTGTAATATTTAAAATCAGTGTTAGCAAAGAAGTTCAACAGTTAGGGTTAGGTTTAGCGGAACATGGCATGAATATACATAAAAATGAATAAGTAGAGAAATACTAACAGTATTTTCATGTTAACTTCATCTTTGAGCTCAAATTCACATTTATATTATCCTTCCAATTTATCCTTCATGTCTCCACAAAGCCTCGTGTACTCATAGGTGGAGCGTTTCTATGGTGGCTAGATTAGGGTGTATGGTGCTGGAATTAAAAATGTAATGCTGGGATGAAGGGTGCCCCACCAAGTGTGAGTGGCATCCCCCAAAGGCAGGAGCCTGGAGGGAATATAAAGAGACAGAAAGAAGCTGCCTCGACCTCTGCAGCTGCCTCTTCCCCGCTCTGCTGCTTTGTTGCCTTCTGCTTCCTACAGACTGTTTCTCCTCTATGCTGTCCCTCTGCAGTGCCACCCTGCATTGAAGCCAGCCAACTACAGAGTGAAAGGTCTACAAATGGAGCTGAACTAAACCTTTCTTCTTTAATTTGGGGTGTCAGGTATTTTAACCTCAAAAAAAAAAAAAACAAGTAACTAAGACATCTACCAAGTCATGATTAAATGAAACAACAAAGTAAAATGTTTTAGTCTCATTTTATAGTTAGAGAAGAAAAGAAATAAAATTTCCTTATAAATTCCTTAGGGAAACTATGGAAGAACCATACAGAACATACTCTAAACTCATTCAGAAAAAAATACATTTCAATTAAAATAATAAAATAGAAGTTCTTGCTTGAGCTACAAATGTTAAAAAAACTAATCATAATAAGAAAATGAAATGCCTATCTAGAAAAAGGAAAATTAAGGTCTTTAGCCTTTCTTTAGTCTTATTTGCCAAGTGTGTTGAATATAATGGTAAAATCTATTGCCATTCAAAAGTCTTTCTAAGAATCCAAATCTCAATTTAGTTTCTGAACCTTGGAAACAGTGTGAAGTGTTTGGGAGATCAAAAAGGCATTTTTCTACTAAAATGAAAAACTGATACAATATGGCATTAACGCAACATAAACAAGAAACAATCAAGAATTTTCATTCATTTAAAAGATACTCTTAACAAAAAACAAGTAAGTGTAAAGCCATTTGTAAAGTATGTAGGGAACTTACCATCTGGGCATCAGAGAAACTGGGAGCTAGTTTGGGTTGCAGTATTTTTTCCTGTGTGCCTTCTACCAACTGATGACTGCTGTTACTTCCCCAAACATAAACCTCACAGGTTTCAGAGACAATGGGAGCATCTCCAGTCTGAATGCTATCTGGGCTAGCACATGTTCTTGAGTAATCAGAAGCCATTCTACAAACCTATAAAAATTTTAAAGTAGGAAAAAACAAAACATTTTTAATTTAGGCATTTTATGCATATTCTCTAGAATTACTGTTACCTTTCTTCCACTTTCAACTGCTCAAACCTAAGAATAACACATCTAGTCCTACATATTTAGTATTAAATGCAGATAACTAGAATATGTACTTGCACAGAATAAATCACTAAAAGATATTCATGTAAGAATACAAAATGGAAAAGGAGTTGTCTTTCCAAATATGAATTTTATTACTGAATACAACAGCATTATGAAAAAATAAAGTTTAAAAAACACAGAGAAAACCACCATTGATAATCTCATCACCCTAATATAGTAAATGTTATTTTTTTTTATGTGTCATTCTGGAATTTTTTTATATATATACTAACACAGTCATTACTATGGTTATACAAATGTGACAAACATTACAAAAGCTCATGCAAAATTTACTGTCTGCATAATATTTACAACTGAAAAATATTCAGTACAAAAATCATAATTTATTTAACCATTTACCTTTAATAAGATTTAAATTCTGTTTCATTATTTTATAGGCCATTTTTAAGAATATAGCTGTTACTATATTTTTTATAACTTCCTTAGTAGAGAATCTAAACAGTGGTATATCAAAAAAGGACAATAGAGGCTGGGGATTTAGCTCAGTGGCATAAGCACCTGCCTTGCAAGCAGGCAGTCATGGGTTCAATCCCCGGTACGGATAAAAAGGAAAAGAAAACAACAAAAAAAGGACAATAATCCTACAATCTTGTAATTCTTGAAATGTACTATAGCAAACTATTCCCCAAAATGTTTATAACATTGCTACCAGCAATGTTCCAAAGAAAAGCCATCCTCAAAACATGCGAGTCCAGAGCAATTGAACACATACACACTCACACACATAAACTCATATACAAAATAAAAGGCATGGCTTACTTACTGTTTGTGTTGAATACAATGGTAAAATCTTCTGCTAGTCACAATGTTTTGTTTTGCTTTTAATCTAAATTTCTCATCAAAAGCACAGGATCGGGTCTTTGGGAGAGTACCAATGTCACTACAGCACCCACACCATTGATGTGTATTGTGCTTTTGAAAGTGTTCTGTTTTTTTGGGCTTTGGGGGTTTTGTTTGCCAACTTCAGGGAAAAAAAGGGGGAGGCCACTAATCTCACATGTCCTTATTATCAGTAGGGCCACAATTTTGCCATCTATTTGTTTACCACATTATAGTAAGTAAATTTATTTATTAGTGGTTAATGGATGTTTTACTGATTTGTATGCACTCAATACAATAAAGACCTTCAGTGTGACCAGAGCTATTTTGAAGACGCTATTTGGTTCAGTTTTTTTTTTATTTTGTTTTTGCCTAACTGAGCAAGACAATATAAGAAGAATCTTTAAAATCAGACACTATATTAGTTTGCGTGCACATTAAGTGGGCAAAGATAGAATAATTTTAGTGAGAACCTTTAAACAGAATGCAAACCAACAAGTTGGACAAGCGTTTTCCAGTGAACATGAAGACAGTTCTAAGAACACAATAAATAATATGTAAGTGAAAACACCTCATCCCCAAGAAAAGATAGGAAATTTTGCTGGTGACAAAAAGATGGTGGGGCCAAGATGGTTAAAACTATTCATTGAAAGACAGATTACTGTAATACGGTTTATAAACAAGAAAAAACGCAGCCTTCTCATACTTCTGCTCTCCACAACACTGAGAAGAAACTACTCACAGAGCTTAAAATGTTTTTTAAAAATAATCATCTAGCTCCTGTGAACTCTTGAAAATTAACCAGCTTCAGGACTTGTTTCTAGAAGAGAGCCCCACACTGATGAGAAACTCCTGGAAATGCAAGGAATGATGGAGAGAGTGAAGGTGAAAGCAGGGAAGGAGAACAAGCTGGGAAGACACCATTGTTTCTCAAAATCGCACAAAAATAACATGAGGGCAGGGGTCTATAGAGTTAGAAAAGATGTAATGAATCCTAACCTATTTTAAAAGTTTAGGAAAAGTAATTTCACATAATGACCAACACTAAAGTGCTGACTGAGGTCAAATCCTGTTGTTATTTAAAAAGCAAAGGAAAAGGAGCACAGTAACATCCAAAACACACCACAAGAAAAATGTCTACAAAACAAAACAATTAACTTATTTCAAAACAGGTTAAAGAGGGTTGAGGATTTAGCTCGGCAGCATAAGCACCTGCCTGGCAAGCTGGCAGGCACCAGATTGTGAGTTGGATCCCAAGTACCAAAAAAAGAAACAGAACAATGGGTTAAAGGGGTTAGGAAAATGAAATTTGACAGAAAAACACAAATTTGAATTGGCAATGCTAAAAAATGAAGTGACATACTTAATAAAGAAGTAGAAATAAAAAATATTTCCAAAAGAAAGACTAAACTAGCAAAACTACAGAAGTAAATAATACAATAGACAATGCCCTATAAGGAACAAAGGATGAAAAAGAAGGTATTTTTGGAAATTAAAAAACAAGATATTTAAAAGTTTAAGAATAAATGACACTGTTAGGCAAAGATCTAACCTGCAAATAATTGGAAAGAAACATACAAAGAAACTAATATTAGAAAATATAATTTAAAGACATTTTCTGAAATTAAAAATATTTGAAACTACATATTGACTTCTCATGACTCTAGGACCATATCCAGAACAAGTAATATCAAGATGGATTCTAGTAAAATTACTGATCTTTACAAGAAAAAAAATGTTCTGCAAAAGACTTCTCAGCAAAACAAGCATGTGACTCACAGAAAAGAAAGATTATCTTTGGACTTGGTCTTAAGACAGCAACTCATCATGCTAAAAGAAATTGGGTCAACACAACATACAGAGAAAAAAAAATGTAAAGCCAGGAGTAGTGGCATAAGCCTATTTTCCCAGCACTCTTGGAAGGTGAGTCAAGAGGATCATAAATTTGATCACAGCCTGGGCAACTCAGCAAGACTCTGGGGACAAAAAAAAAAAAAAGGCTGGGGATGTTACTCAGTGCAAAGGCCCTAGATTCAAACTCAGTGCAAAGGCTCTAGATTCAAACTCCAATGCAAAGACCCTAGATTCAAACTCCAATGCAAAGGCCCTAGACTCAAAACTCCAGTACTTGAGAAAGGGAAAAGACAGAATGACAGACATACAAAGGAGAGAAGGGGACAAAGGGTGAGAGAGAAAGAAAAAGGCACAGAGGGCAGGAAGGACAAAGGGAGAAAGTGGGGGAGGAAAGGCGAATCAGAGAATTTATTTCCCGAACTTTTTGTAGTAAACATCATAGCAATTATCAATATACAAAAACTATGAGACTATCATTCCTCTGAGTTTTTTTTAAAATCTACTACAAAATGGGCTTCAAACAACCAAAAAGATTACAGAGACCAGAAGTAAGCATTACATATATACTTACAGAACTAATACTAAATGAGGGCTTAAAAGTACATAATACAGAGTATGTAATGACTACATATTCTAAGTACAACTACAATAAAGCAGAACATTACAAAGTTAATTTTCAGTAATCACCAAAAAGTAATATTTGTAATTATTATTATTTTAGGACAGCTGTGTGTATGTTTATGTGTGCATTTGTGTGCATAATGTGATTAAAACAAATCAGTAATTATAAGATACTCTAAATCTATCATCCCTATATCCTTTAAAATCAGCAATTTTAGTTAGAAGGAAAAAAGATATAAATGTAATATAAAAAAGGCTAAATCAGAGGTATTTTGGCTTTAAATATACCACATAGGCATACATCCCACAACACACCACAATTTCCTAGCTCTGTTTATTAGAAAAGCCTAAAAAATTATCAACTCACTAGCAGTAAGCATCTCTAGCACCCTCATCATGGTATTGAAATTAACAATTCTCATTAACAAAACCACAGCCTTTTTGAAGAAATATCAAGTTTATTCCCAGGGCAAGAAATGCACATGATGCACCAAGAATAATATGCTGTATCAAAAAGCAAAGAAGCTCTTGAAGAGTTAGCAGCCTTATGTCAAAAGAATTTAGAAAAATTTTGAAGATATTACCACCCTGACAAGACAAGACAACAGGCCTAAATAAAGCAACACTGACCACAAATAATTCAACACTCAAGTTTAAGTCTACAAGTTTAAAATTATATTTTTTAATCAAGTTAATCAAGTTTTTAATCAAGCTTAAAAGGATGATAAAGGGTCAGTTCATTAAACTGAAAATGAAGGCTAAGGATTTAGCTCAGTGGCACAGCAACTGCCTGCATAGTACAAGGTCCTGAATTCGATTCCCAGTATCAAATAATAATAATAGTAATAGTAATAATAAATTGAAAATACAAGTAAGTAGGGAGAGTCAAGCATCTTTTCTGCCTTTCCTGCATGAGCTATAGCAGAGTAATCAAACAGTTGATATGGAAAGCATCTCTTTATAAAAACATTCTTACTAATAAATGAAAAAATAATAGAATTAAAACACCATAACAACTAACCACAAATCAATTAGATCTAGTTGTTAAGCACCACAAAGAGAGGTAATCAGATGAAACCAGATGAAAAAACACAATACCATGTATGTATCTTACCAAATAATCAAACCTGAGACTGACTGAGCCTCTGGATCCAGATGCCAACCTGCAGGCAACTCAAAAGACAAAGACACTGAACTGATTCAAAAGTAGTCAATCAGCAAAATACAGACTAGGAAAATCTACAGTCTAAGTGAGTTACTGCACATATACAGTGAAGGAAAAAAAGGATGTATCAATTCAAAGATTGAAAACTTTTCTATTTTTTAATGGGCAAGAATGAACTAGTATCTAGGGAGGCATACCTGAGCAACACAACTACAAAGAACCACAAGGAAGTTGTTAGTCTAAAAGCCATGTTAGTGATTATGTTCAGGGAAGGAGGAAAGAAGTTATGACAAGGATGTGAAAGGCTTCTGCCATGGCCAGGAAAATTCTATTTGTTTATCTGAGTACAGATTTAAAAGGTGTTTATTTAATAATCCCTTGAGTCATACATGTGTATGTCCTTCTGTATCTGCTTTAATAATAAAAAATTTTGCCAGGTGTGGTGGCACATGCCTGTAATCCCAACACTTGGGGAGGCTGAGACAGGAGGATCATTTCAAGTTGGAGACCAGCCTGGGCTACAAAATGAGCTCACAGCCAGCTTGAACTGCACAGCAACACCTTGTCTCAAAAAGACAAAATAATAATAAATAATAAGTTTCTCTATTAAATTTACCAGTACATGATCCAATATTCAAAAAACATACAGTGAAAATATTTCTTTCCCACCCCTGGCCCAAAAACTTAGAATCCAACTCTCTAGAGGCAGTCACTCATGCCACCTTCTTTTGGAGCCTTTCTTTTGGATTGTACTTTTAGTTCCTTCTCCAAATATATGTTTTTAATGGATAAGTACATGCTATAGTATTTAAAGATGAAGTAATACTTAATGCAAAATCCATGATGATTACATACCTCTTCAAAGAGACATAAAGCTGCCTCATAGAGTGAGCTCGGGCCATCAGATGTTCTGGTTGGTTCTCTCCACTGAATCCAATCAGCAGATGACCCCTGTAATTAAACATTGCAGGACACAGCATGGGAAGGAGAAGATAATATTTAAAATCACTAAAATACTCCATGCAAACAATGTCTATTTTAAGAATTATTTACATGTTTGTTTATTGTTTGTTCACTTGTTTTTTGTGGTACTGGGGATTGTGTTTAGGGTCTTGGACACACTAGACAAGTGCTCTGCCATGGAACCCTGAGGACTGTTTATATGACTGTGCACAGTGGAATCAAATCCTAACATTTGATCTCAAAGTAACTTTTACACATAAGTGTTATAAAAGGCCTGGTTATTGAGTCAGATGGCAAACTAACACCCAATCTCTCCATGATTCATTTATTAAAGACTGATTCATTTCAAAGGGTCACAAGACTCTAAAAATGGCAAAAAAGAAGGGAACAGGTAGTAAAATGTTCTTTGGGTAACTTCCTGTGAACCCGCAGGGTTGTCTTACTTTCCTGCCCCAAGGGATACAGATAAGTAGAATACAGCCATCTGCAGTAATGATCCATAGAGGCAAAAGTCTATCCTTATCTTCTCAGTTTCAGCATAACTAATATTCCAGGAGTCAGTTTGTGTCTACACTAACAACAAAGCATCTTTTTCCTACTACACTTAAAAGATTTACAGAATTTCTCTGGGACGTGTTTGCCATACCAAGGCCCAGTGAGAGAAATCATTACCTTAATGAAAAATGGTAGAAAGTGAACCACATCCATGGCACCTCAAATTTCACCACAAATGTCAAGTTCTTTCTATGACTTTTCAATGCTATAATTGTGAAAATTTCACTTGTGATTTTATTTCAAAAGATACTACATTGTAAACATATAATCAGATGACCACTTACTTGGTAGATATACAATATGAAAGTACCACAGAGGAAAAGTTGACTTACATGCCCTGCAAGATTCCATTCTATGCTTTTATCAATGCAAAGTATATTACACTTACAACTTTGTAATTCCTACAATAAAAGAAATTACTATTTTGAACCAAATATAAAATCCCAATCAATGTTTTCAAACAAAATATCCACAGTATTTAATTCTAACGAAGTTTAGTTAGAATTTTTTTCTCTTTTTTTGCAACTGGGAATGGAACCCAGAAACACTGAGCTACATTCCCAGCCCTTTTTTATTTTGATAGAAGGTCTTGCTAATCTGCTAAACTGCTCAGGCTGGGCTCCAACTTGCAATCCTCTTGCCTCAGTCTCCCAGAATACTAGGATTATAGGCAGATGCTACCACATCCAACTTAGAATTTTCAAAGTTTCATAACATATTAAAGTTTTGCAGAGCTTTCATTGTTGTTCTACATATTCATCTGCCTTCTATGTCACCAAAAAAAATCAACTTATGGTGTTTTGTTTTATTTTGTTTTTCTTAAAAATTTAGCCTGGCTATATTGCCCAGACTGGCCTCAAACTCCTCAGCTCAAGCATTTATCTTGCTTCACTTACATGAATAGCTAGGACTGGACACAAACACTGCATCCATCTTATAGTGGTGAAATATCTATCAGCCTATATCTTCTGGGAAGATACACACATTAAAAACCCTTGCATCACTTAAACAGGAATCATTTTGGAATTCTCCAACAGCTGTTACAGTGCAGAACTTTTCTGCCTTCAAAACCTCATGCAATGGAGTCAGGTGTGGTGGTACACACCTGTGATCCCAGTACTCTGGAAGACTGAGAAAGGAAGATCAAAAACTTGAGCCCAGTCTGGGGAACTTAACAACTCAGCAAGACCCTCACCCGAAATATAAAACTGGCTGGGGATGCAGCTCAAGGCTCTAGTACTAGAAGAAAGAAAAATAAAAACTCCTACAATGAAGCCCAAGTAAATGACCCTTCAGACAACTTTCCTTACCCCAGCAAAGCTAAACAGTTCAGTACTTTCTTGCTTTACAGATGGCTCCCTTTCCCATTTCTCAAAAGTGTTTATAAACTTAAAATGTAAAGCCTGGGTTGACAGTGAAGATCAGAGATAAAACACTTGATAGGCAAACCTTCCTATCATCAGGCTCTGTTCCCCCACCCCATCATTAACTATCATTTATAACTATTTTCTTCTGCTTGCTGTCAATAAGCTAATCAGACTCTTCCAATCACAGAATATGCTGCCATCTCTACATTTTTGGTTCTACTTAGCTAGTTTTTTTTTCTTTCCTTCCTTCCTTTCTCTCATTCTTTTTCCCTTCCTTTCTTCTTCGTGGTTTTCTAACCAGGGATCTCTAAATTGCTTAGGCTACCTTGAATTTGTGATCCTCCCACCTCGACCTCCCCCGTAACTAGGATTATAGGTGTGTGCCACTGTGCCCAACTTAGCTACTTCTGTTATTACTGGGTCACCTTCAGTTGCCAAGTCAGTTTTTCTTCGTAATTATTTTAGGCAGGGCTTCTCAAGTTTTAATGATACTAATTACCTGACAATCTTGTTAAAATATAGATTCTGATTCAGGAAGTATAGACAGGGCTAAGATTTTGCTTTTTTTCTTCTTTTTTCAGTATGGAGAGTCAAATTCAAGGGCATTCTAACACTAATAAGTTACATCCTACGTCTTTTCACTGGGAGATCTCACTGGGAGAGTCTCACTGAATTTCCCAGGCTGGGCTTACACTGATCCTGCTGCCTCAGCTTCCCAAACAGCTGAGATTACAGGTGTGCACCATCACGACCATCAAGAGTCTACATTTCTAACAAATCCCAAGTGATGCTCATGCTACTCTCTGAAGCTCATATTTTGACATGTAGGGCTGGAACCACACAAAAAGCTGAATGTTTCAAGAAATAACCAATCCCTAGATACATATTGTGTTGCTATAGCAGCCAATACTTTGGCACAACCTCTCTAAATTGTTTAATTAGCTGCACAGCATTTCTGGGGAAAACACAGTTGTGATATGTGGCTCCATTATTTAAAGGCAACCTCTTGTGATCACTAAATCAAGTGATGAGGAACAAACTGCTGTAACTTTATGGTAGCTGGCACCAAAGCCATTATAATCCCTCCTTCATACTTTTCTAGGACAATGCTTAAAACAGCAATAGTGACCAATCTAGGTTTAAATCTAGGCTGCATACTTACTAGTCACATGACTCATCTTTAGATACAACTGGGAAGACAGATCATGTATGCCTTTCCAACACATAGTAAGATCTCAAAACTGACAGCAGTATTTAATATTATGTACAATGAAAAAGAGAATACTAGGAATATTAATTCTTACTAAATTTAAAAATATTATACCAAGGTTAGACTATAGCTCAGTGGTAGAGCACTTGCCTAACAAGTGTAAGGGCCTATGATTTTCAATACTTAAAAAAGTAAATAGATAAAAGAAAAACCTAAACTAATAAAATATTCTGCAAATTCCATGTAATACACATTGTCACTAGTTTATTTCCTTTTCCAAGAAAAGTCAATTAGTTGAGGATGAGTCTATCCCAGTCAAGATTAGAGACATCTCTACAATCCACTCTACACAGAATTGTTAGTACTGTGTGTTTTATAAATATGCTGCATAACTAGAAACAACTAAAATTATCCATCTTTAAAGAAATTAAGTTGTGCAAGACAGTTGATTAAATGTGTAACTTCATATACCATTAATATACGATACAAAGTATAACAGTCCAAGTAAAAATTAAAGCAACATAAAGTTGTGATTTCTAAAGTATCCATTTAATTACCTTTGTCTTAAATAATTACCATCCAAAATAATATAATACCTCCCCCCCCACATTTGTCTAGGGTATTCAGACAAGGATGTACAACTAGAGGGAGTACATTTCCTTAAGGTTCTGTCTTTTCTCAAAATTGCTTCAGTGACTTTCCACTGCCTACAAGTTAAGTGCCCAAATCATACAGCACGGGATATAGCACCTGCCTAGCTCACAGCCTCATCTCATCGCATTCTACGCCCCCATATCCAGGAGCTTGCTGCTTCCCACACCCTGGTCACTTTGTGAATTTTGATTTTCCCTTCCCCACCTAATCCCACTCATGCAATTCATGTCAGCAGACTAATTCCTTCTATCTTTCAACTAATGTAAAGATCCTTCCTTCGTAAGGCCCACTTTTTATGTTCATAAACCCTCTTCCAATGCAGACCTTTACTAGTCATCCCATTATCTTTAATTTGAAATGTGTATGTCTCCCTCTTCCATTAAATCACAATCTAGCTAAAGTAAAGACACAGATGCTTTTTAACCCAGCATCTAACAATATCTGGAACAAGTTTCCAGTAAACATTCAATGGCATCAAATGCCAAAGGAGTTTATATTATGGTTTATTTTTTTAGAATTTGAAGATGTACATTTACATTACAATATGAATAACTTTCATTACAATATGAATAACCCTTTACTCTTATTTAAAGAGTATTTTATTTGTGCCTACTCAAATATATACTTGGGTAGCTGAGTTTATGAATCAGACAAATAAACATAATTTACAGATTGAACTTATTTTGTTAGACTTTGGTAATGAACTGATGGTTATGTGCAGCTCCCTGTATCTTACAATTCAAATCCTATCCCAGTCATACAGAGGCCAAGAAACTCATGGTAAAGACATTCAGGTCACATGGGGTCTAACACAGCAGGAGAGGCTCATGTAGTCTGAGTTCTCAGAGTACATAGTAGAGGGTAAGAAACTTGAGTTCTGGAGATCAAGATCATCATCAGATTCAGTCATTTGCTACACAAGGAGCAATAACTAATACAAAATTCAATTAAATAACCATTCCTTTCCCCTAAAACCAATCCGAGTTTTAATTTAATTGATATCTAATGCAGGTCAGAGGTAACTTTGAGAGAGCCAAATTAAATCAAACACACAGACTTCTTCCCCAGAGTAGAGGCATGATTCTGCAGAAAGCAATATAGTTTTCCAGAACACCAGTGGCCCAACAAGGAGCTAGCTACAGGGCACTACATGGCCTTGAAGCCCTCTGAGCTTCAGTTGGTAGGTGACTTCTGACTAGGTATGCTTGGTAGTTTGCCCAAGAATGAGGCCAAGTGGAGATAAAGCTGAAAATCCAGCAATAAAATAAACATATTTTACATCTACTTTTAAAGTAGTCATTAATAGGGGAAAAATGAATCAATTTAGCAAAAATGGAATAAAAACTGCATAGAATAATCAGAAAAAATAATAAGCTTTGCAGACTGATTCAGGGTCATAAGAACTATTTAATATTATGCCTGATCTATTATGTGCTTAAATCTGGAGTACCTGTTATATTACATTGTTGTTCAATGTATTTGTAAATCCAAGCTACCACATTTGTTTCATCTTCAAGACCAGGGTAATTAACATCTGCCTCACACTTAACATGATAACTGAATGAGACAGCACATAAAGTATGTGGTGCTGGATGGTAGGCACTCAACAAAATGAATTCTCTTCCTTCCTTCCTTGGGATGGAATATTGCAGGCTAATTAAATGAAGAATAAAACATATAAGTAAGTATACAAATTTACTATAAAGATTTCTTAGGTTTGCAGAGCAATTTACACTATCAATCAGTGGTCTAGGTTTCTGAGGTAATCTCTTCCTTGTAAGAAGGGTATTTGTAGGCTAAGGCCTTAGACACATAATCTACTAGTGACATATTTAACTTTTTTAACTAATAAATCCATTAGTTAATATTTCGCAATAAAAAACAGCAAAAAAAAAGACTGACAGTGTAGCCTAACTGAATTAAGTCAGTTTAAAAATATTTGAGTCTTACTCTTCCAAGTTAGTATTTTAACATTCAAATTTTTATCCTTGGTTTTCACAAAAGTATTAATTTCAGTCTTAAAAATTCTTGAAATTTACTAGATACTACACTATGTTGTTTGTTCTTTAATATGGTGTGCAAGGTTATGACAGTCAAGCAATTTCCTTTGATGACATACTTTTTTCAGACTCCTGCTTAGCTCATCATATTTCCCTTCTTTCAGGTCTCCACTCATATGTCACAATGCAGAGTCCTTCCTTAATCACACTGACTAAAATAGTGCATCTTTCACCTCACAGCCTTTTCCCTGAGTCTGCCACTCTCTAATCCCTGTGTTCTTCATTTTTCATCTTAGAACTTCTCTCTACTTGAAATTTTGTATGTACTGTTTCTCTCACCCTACTCAACTGTTAGCTGTATGAAGGCAGAAACAGTACTCACAGGCCTATAACCCCAGGCTGTAGACTAACAGTTGTTGTACCATAAGTGATTAACAAAACTTGGGAACCAAGGACGAAATTGCACATGTTTTAGAAAGACTTTCATATTAACTTGGCAAGGTCCCTCATTTTACATGAGTTTATAAGTATTCAGAAGTTAAATGAATTTCCCACACTCACATAAATCTTGAAACTAAAACAGGCCTAATCCAGTAGTCTTAATTCTGTACCAATTAGTCTGTCCTTACTTATCAACATGTATGAGTTTTTCATACAAAGTACATAAATATTAACTACCAAACACCAGAAGAACTTTTAAATCATTTACTTATCACTAATTCATGGTGGCACATACCTATAATTCCAGGATTTGGGAGGTTAAGGGAGGAGGATCATCTCAAGTTCAAGGCTAGCCTGGGCTACATAATGAGTTTAAGGCCAGTCTGGATTTCAGAGTGAAACTCTGCCTTAAAAACCCCAAAAAAAGGAGTAATTAAATTTGACAGTTAAGGGGCTGGGGATTTAGCTCAGCGGCATAAGCGCCTGCTTTGGAAGTAGGCAGTCGTGAGTTCGATCCTCGGTACCGATAAAAAGGAAAAAGACCAAAAAAAAAAAAAAAAAAAATTTGACAGTTAAAGTACATACCAAAGAACGTCTCATCTGCATTAAGATAGTCATAAAGCAGTCAAAGCTGATTATTCCTTCCTGGCTTGACAGTAGTTTGGTTTTCTCCATGTTATTAAAAACTGCTGAAGCCCCCAAAGCCATTTCTATCCATTCAAGAAGATACCGCAGACAGCCTTGCTGAGCTGCTAAACCAAGCAGCAACTCAGAAGCTAATCTACGACCTAAAATGTCTACCCCAGAATTGGGAATAGTTACTCCTTTAAGAAATGTTGTTACTTGTGATAAGCAGTCCAAACCCACAGGAGGAATCTTGCTTTCATTGGCTAAAGATAATGGTGGCAAAAGAGCTCACAACTTCAATTGCAGTATGAATAACATCGTTGCAAAGACTAAGGCCAGGTCCCGACACAGGCATCATCCAACTTTGTCTCAGAAGTGCAAATAATAAACTTAGACCAGTTCGAACACCCATTTCTATAAGTGCGTCAGTGCCTGACCGAGGACGTCCACTCACAGAATGGACAGCTGCTGCACCAGAGCTGCTCTCCAGAGAATGCCGCGCTGTTTCACTTTTCCTTTGTCCTGGTATTTATTAGAAAGTGCATAGAAAACACGCTGGAGTACAAGCAGGCGTTTTCGCAGCGCCACAGCAAATGGAGAATCTGAACAAACCATCTCTGCTAGTGCTAGCTGGCTGCTAAGAAGTGCATCCAAATAATGGTCCCGTTCGTCACTTGAAAGAGATTCACGTTCAAAGTCTGGCAACTGTGGTCCTTTGAGACATAAAACTTGTTGGGGCAAAGGTACTACTTCCTTATTGCTGACTAGTTTAGAATATGGGATGGCAGCTCCCTCTCTTGTAGCAATAGATTCACTGTCTTCTGTAATCCAGGAACTGTTCAGGTGTTCGAGCCATTTCAGTTTCACTGGTGGAACCATAGTTGCCATGTTGATTTATTCTTCAGCCATTAGTTCTATAAGGGAAAAGGAGAAAAGTCAAAAACTTATATGAGTGATTTGTAAAATGTTTCTAAACTTCCACCTTATATTACAATTAGTGATTTCAAGTTGGTGAAATGAAAATGAAGTCTGGAGTTGAATTCATGGTTCTGTACCAATCGTGGTATTTTGGCTTTGATAAACTCATGGTTTTATTAACATTAAGGAGAAATGGGTGAAGGGATACAGGAACTTTTCTTATAAAAATTATTTTAAAAAATAGTGATTTCTTCAGATGATCCTTTTCCCTTCAGGTTCTAATGTCACGTGACTCCCATATTTCATCTCTAACCAAGACCTCTTCCCTAAACTCATATATACAATTATTCTCTTTGCTTCACCACATAGATACCTAATGGGCATTTAAAAGTCTACATGTCTAAACTCGAACTCCTAATCTACCACACAATCACCACTAGGACTCAAATCTGTCCCTCATCTCAATAATTCGCAAGCCCATCACTATCCAGTGATGGTGATCTTTCAGAGAGCAGTACCCAAACTGCAACCCAAAGCCCACTTACATATCACAAAGTGCCAACACAAGAATTAAACCTTAATACTGAGGTTTCAGTTTAGAAAAACAAATCATACCTTAATATCTTTCATCTTAAAAGAAAAACAAGTAATATGTATGCCATATGTTCACCACCACTGTCTTACTTAGATCCTTGAAGACCTTCACTGAATCTGTCCTAACACCCTAAATTCCATTGGTGAGCCCTATTTTCACAAACTATATACTGAACCCAACTCCACTGCTACAACCCTGGTCCAAGCCATCAACTCATAGGTCAACTGAAAGAACCTCCAGAGAGGTTTCTCTGCCTCAACCTTTACCGCCCTCTGATCTCTTTTAATAAGGTAGATAAAGCTTCTGAAATTTAAGTCAGGCATCTCTTCTGAGTCAGATGGGCTAGTTTTGGGATAGACCAACTGTTATGATTTAGATCTCAAATGATTCTCAAAACCTCACACATTTGGAAGAAGCAGGAAACACATCTGACTTGCTATAAGTAAGTGGGGTCTGGAAGGAAGGGGAAGGTCACTTCCCTTGCTATAAGTAAGTGGCAGTGATCTGGAAGGGCTGATCTCACTTCCTGGTTTTTCCTTTAATTTTCTGCTTCCTGTCTGCCACGAAGTGAACAGCTTTCCTCCACCAGTACCTTCCACATGCTGTTTCTGCTATGGCTGGCACACAATGCAATGTCTGAAAGGACTGAAACCTGAGCCAAAATAAACCTCTTCTCCTTTAAAAGTTGTGGGTGTCAGATATTCTGTCCCACAGAAAAGTGACTAGGATGCCAATGCTCTGGCCAAGAATAACTGGGAAGCACAGATAGCTTTTGTAATCTGTTTAAAGCCACAGGGGAGTTCTGAAAGGACCTGGGGAACTGAATAATGACTATAGGGTATAAGGAATTTTAAAAAGTATGTGTTTCCCTTGGGTATATCTGCCAGTTCTAAGCACAGAGTAGGAGGCTGAGAATCAAAATTTGCCTATGCAGACAGTTAACTGCTTAAAGATAAGAGAATCCAGCACAGCTTTTGGCTGTACTGAGCTTACAAAAAACAACTAGATTTGAGAATCTAGGATTTGAATTTGAAATGAGATATGGGGAAATAGTCCTCTTAGAATGTCTGCTAAATTATAAAGCTACATAAGACAAAAGGCTAGGAACTAAGCAGAAAGCCCCCAAAAAGCAGAGCAGAGTTTCAGCACTGTCACAGGTCTCTGTGGCAGAGAAAGAAACTCAAGCTGAGGACCAGCCAGGATACAGCCCCCAGTGAATGTGCCAGGTTCTTAGATAACAGCTCCAAAAGGCTAGCACCCAAAAGCTAAACAAATAAAAGGGAATCTGAGCTTACCAAAACTACAAACATTCATTCAACCTTCCTCCAACTGCCCACTGGGGAAAGTGTCTAACTTTTATACACAATGCTGGGCACTTAATAAAGAATTACCAGAATCATACATCTATAATCCCAGCACTCAGGAGGCTGAGGCAGGACTATCTCCATGAGTTCAATGCCAGCCTAGGTTACATAAGTAAGTTCAAGACAAACCTATATTACACATATTGAGGCTCTGCCTCAAAAAATAAATAAATAAATAAAAAGCATTACCAAGCATGCCTAGAAGTTGATATCATACCACAAACTAAGAAAACAGATCTTAAGGCAGTCTAACTTTAATATCTTTATAAATGATGAAAACATGGAAAAATTCACCAGTTATAAAATAAAATTTTACAAAGTAAATGGATATCATAGAACTGAAAAAACTCTAAAATATATGTGTGCAAGAAATTACTTCTTTCTTCTTAAAAACCCTCAATGGTTTCCCCTCTCAGATTAATAGGCACAATTCTTAAAATAGCTAATAAGGTTATAAAGGTTATATACAACATAGCCCATCCACTACCTCTTGGACTTCACCTCCTGCTTGCCTGTTTACTTGGCTCCAGACACACTGGTCTCCCTGTTTTTACTGGACATTCAGAACAGTCCATATTTTTTCAGACTAGAAATTTCTTTTCCCAGGATATCCGTGCTGCCCACTTGCCATCACTGTTCTCTTAGTCTATGGCTACTCTGTACAGCAGGTAAGGTAAGGATAGACTTATAGGAGTTGGCATGTTTTATCTGTATTCTGAAGGCTGATTATTTTCCAGCAAGGTCCTATTTTGGGGGAAATGCAGTTAAGTCTTTACTAAACACTACTATTGTGCAAAGCACGTAAAAGTACTTACACCCATCCATTACTGCAAGCCATAGGTAATATCACTTTTTTAAATTCTGCCTATTTGATAACTGTAAAGGGATATGTTGCTGTTCTAATTTATATTTTCCTAATTACTAATCACTCTGAATATCTTATGCTCATTGGCCCTTTGAATAAACTCTTTTTGGGACATGTTTATTCAAGCATTCTCCTACCTGGTCAACTTGTAAAGAGAGATAGAAGCACATGAGCATGAACGTGTGTGGGGTGTGTATGTGTGTGTGTTATCATAGTCTATCAACACTGTAAATGTTTCTTCTATCTTTTGCATATATACACACATCGTTTCTGTTAAAGCTTCTGTTTTTCACCCTTGGTCAAATAGCACTTCCACCCCATGCCCATGATCAGATTACACAGGCATTTGCTATAATTTTTAGAGATATTTGTTTTTATTTTTTTTTAAATGCACCTTTAGGCCAGTTAGAACTAGAGCTCTATGTTCATTCTGAAATTTTAATAAACGCTATACAATGTGAAACTGTTTCCAGAGGAATGGCTGATTATGCCACCAACATTTATTTAGTTATCTAAGACTTTAAAGAAGTCAAGCATGGCAGTTGCACATTATCCCGCCAGAATTCTTTCCTCAAGTGTGGAGGATCACCTGGACTCTCCTTTAAAGAAGATCCATTATCTCCACTTGGGCTAAACTGGTTCTATTTCCATGTATTAATCTGTAACAGAGCTGACTGGCGCTTTTCCTTATCCCTTGAACTGGCTTTAAGCAATGCAAATCGGCGGAAGTGCTGACGTGTAGTCTTTCAAGCAAGGCAACAAGTCAGTGCTGCCTCAGCCCATAACCTCCCAAGAAGCACATGAGCCAGGCGAGAAGGAGAACCACAAGGCTCTATGCTGGATACAAGCTGGAATCTGGGATCGAGCCTTGAGATAAGAGGCTATGACTTCCCAGGGCATAATAAATTACACATCAAAGCTGAAGCACCAACTCCTAAACATCAGATACTACCTCTGCGTTGTGAAAATTATTCTTTCTACATATCCTTCTCTGCATATTGCAGAGGTGGTTTCAGGATACCTACCTACCCCAGTTCAGAGTACTCACGTACCTTCTGCCACTCTCAAAGCAACTCATCACCGAGTTACTTCCCTCATTGAGAATTAATAAAACCAGGGTTTAGATTTTGTTATGGTGAACTTTCATCCTGGTCCAATTTAGGAACCCTTTGGCTCCCACACCTATAAATATGCCTTCATTAAGTCTTTATTCTGTTCTCTTGCTCCATGGCTATTCTGTATAGCAGGTAAGGGGTTGCACTGGAAGTGGTAGATTGGAATTAACTTGGTAGCATTTCAGTAACTTTTCCAAGGGATTACAAATATAAACTTCCTGGACCATGAGGAAGACCAGGAAGTGTTCTCTATACTCAAATATAAGGGGAAAAAATTAAATTCTGTACCAAAGCACACTGGTTATATAATTTGAAGATTATAGAATGCCACAATTGCAAATAAAAATAAAAGAGAAAAATCACTCAATTCCAGTGTACACACTCTCACTCCCCTCCAGCCATAGGGCTTTACGGCAAGGCAGGCAGACTAAGAAAATTACAAACAAGGAAAAGGAAGTCTGATGAAGGGCCCTAAAGGTGATTTGGGGTAACAGCAACAAGGATCAAATCCATGCCAAATTTGAAAACACTGGAAATATATGTTGGCAGGGGTCAGAACAAAGACTAGGTAAGAAATTTCAGAGGACATTTAATTTTAAGAGGTGGGGATGAGTTAAAAGAGTAGGTATAATTTTAAAAGTATGAAAATAAATAAATAAATCAGACACTGCAGAGGTGATTTCAGGACTTGTTGAAAAGAAAAAACCTGCTAACTACTTGGACTCTGCTATATTGGCAAAGGAGGGTATCGTTACATTAGAAATATTATAAAATACTCAATAATAAAAATGGAGCAAGAGAAAATGTTAGGGATCTTAAACTCACAGTGGCTAATTTTGCATACTTCCCTAAGAGATAAACTGAGGCATGGGATTGTCAGTATCACCCATCTGAGATTTCTCATTAACTCTTTGGGATGAGCCATCCTCTCCCACTCACCAAGACTAAAACTAAAACCACTAAATTCAAAAAACACTCTAGGGCAAGACTCTTCTTAGCATAAGATCATTTCTGCCCTCTTGAGTCATTCCAAAATTATACTTATCTTTTAAGTCATAA